TTTTATGTACTTTAAGTACAAATTTTCGCAATGCATTAAATACATACTTACATACATCTCAACATTACATACATTGTAAAGTATGCAGTAGTTTACACTTTGTAACTAGAACATGCATTACAGTGTGTATGTGTTCGGGTAAAATGGATGTATATATAGTAAACACCTCTTATTCTGCCCCCTTTGGTGACGAGTGATTTAAAAAAGAAATTTGTTTTTGTGTTTTTTCTTTCTTCTGTGTTTTTTCCCGTGTTCAGTCTCATTCATAAACGAAGAATTAGTAGAACTTGTTGCATCCACAGTCATAATGCATAATATAAATGCAACTATGTGTGTGTGTGTATATATGTATGCATTGCTTTTGTTTTTAGTATTGTTTATGTGGGTGGATATAGAAATTTTAAATGGTATTTGAATTATTACAAAAATTGCCCTACAGAGACATGTTGAAAAACACATGCTGCATTTATATTATTTATAATGTGTTTATAATTGAATTGAATTCTATTGTATAGAGATGATAGACAAAAAAGGTATCAAGTTTATGTATACACTTGTACATTGAGATATGTGTGTGTGTGTTTAGGTATAGAAAATTTCAAATTTAAAACAATGACATTGTTTTGTGTGCGTGTTTTTTTTTTTTTTTTTTTTTGGAGTTTCAAATGGTATTTTAATTGTTACATTTTATAAGTGAATAATTGCAAGTTCCATTGGGATATAATTTCGTTTTAAAAATAAGTTTTAATTACAAAAATTGCACCTATTTCAGGAAATTACCAAATATCAATTTTTTGCTTATATTAATATTTCAAACAAAAAGGTGGAGTTTTGTAGAAGTGTTTATAAAATTCAATTGCAATAAATTTTTAATTATTAAAACGAAATGAATATTTTATAAAATATAGTAGAAGAACTGATTTTCAGTTGAACATCAGCAATTAATGCGAAAACTTTAGTTTCACAAGATTAACAGATTTTCATTAGAAACTCAAATTGAATTTTAACTTAAAAGTACAAGATTTGCAATAGATTGCGTAACTTTTAAACTCTTTTTGTTTCTTCGAAAACTATATAACAACAATGTTCTTTTTTTAATATTTAGAAACCGCAAAGAATCGAAAGTGAATACAAATTGTAATGCGCGTATACTTAATATTTATTTGCATACTTTTAAATACATATTACTCATACGTACATATATACGTTAGCAATTTACTGAATTGTATGTATTTTGGATCTTTATGAGATTTATACGAAATTTGTTATACATTTTACAGTTATTACTTATTTGTTCGGTCAGCCCATAGTAGTTCATTTTTTTCAATTTTCTGTTAAAAGTGGAAATTTTCTTTAAAAAAGTGAATTTTTTTTTAAATTTCTAAAAGAGAGTAAAAATTTTACTCTATCTTAAAAAAAGAGAAATTTTCAATAATTCTCTAAAAAAATGGAAATATTTTATAGTTTTCTATAAAAATAAAAAATGTTTAAAAAATGTTAAAAATGTGCAAAATTTCAAATATTATTCTTATATATAAAGGAATTTTTAAAAATCTTCTGGAATAAAACTATTTTTTAAAAGAAAATTTAAAAATTTTTTTAAAAATAGAATTTTTTGAAGAGAAAAATGTTCAATAAATGAGAAATTTTCCAAAAATTTTCTATAAATGAAAAATTTCCAAAAATGTATAAAACTGATTTTAATGCAAATGGGGAATTTCATGTCAAGTGACCCAATTCAAAAAATCGATTTTGATGAAATTTGCACCTAGGTTAGTACTACAGGATAGTAGGTCAGGAAACAGTGAAGAAATAGCTTTCTGAACTCCTTTGGACAATTTTTGCTAGGACCAATAGGTAAAAAGTTACACTAATTTGAATAAAACTCTGTATGACCTAATTGTCCAACTTTGACCCCTTCTAAGTCCGGTAGTTCTTGAACCATACAGCTGAAAATTTGTGTGGGTGGTTGGGTGGTCACTTGACACGAAATTGCCCAAATGAATAAAAACTGTAATGGGCGTATACTTAATATTTATTTACATAGTGTTAAATACATATTACTCATACGTACATATGTTACATATTTTGATTCCTTATTAAAAATTAAAAAAAATGGAAATTTTCTATAAAAAGTGAAATTTTAAAAAAATTTATAAAAAACAGTGAAATATTTAAATATTTTTTATTGAAATAAAAAAAATGTCTAAAATATTTTCTATAATCTATAAAGGGAATTTTTTGAAAATCTATTGGAAAAAATTATTTTTGAAGGAAAATTTAAAACATTTTCTAGAAAAATGAAATGGTTTTTTAAAAGAAAAATTTTCTAAAAATCTTCTATAAGTGGGAATTTTTTTATAAATTAGTAATTTTCCATAATTTGTCTTTAAATAAGAAATATTCCAAAATTGTTCTAAATATCAAATTCTAACGTTACTGACTGATTCATTGTCTCACTGCCTAAACAGTTGAAGCTAGAAAGTTGAAATTTGGACAAATCACAACACAACAATAAATCCACCAAGACAAGATTTTTGGATATTCTAATATTTAGGGTATAATAAAGGGGTAAAAGACTAATTATAATAAATGGGTAAAAACTGTATTTTGGTACTTTTTTACGTCACCTGTCTCCATCTTTTAAACCAGTAAGTATAGCAATACAATTTTTAATTCATTCGAAAAAATATGAATATTAATTTAGTACTTTTTGGATATTCGGACGTTTTACTTATTTTTGGTACTTTTTTTTGTAAAACTATTTGTTGTCTTATACATATGAATAATTATTGATGGTCTTCCACTAAGATATTGAAACTTTTTGGAACATAATTCTTATTTCGTCAATGGAAAGGAAAAAAGTACCAAAAGGGAGTAAAAACCAAGGATTATTTTTTGGTACTTTTTGTTATTCAACCGGTACATTTTGATTTTCCTATAATATTGAAAGTAGAAACATGAAATTAAGCGTGTAGAGCCTGGAGTAAATGATAAACTATAAACAAGGACTTTTTGGTAATTTTTCGTCCTTTTAAAGTTACTTTTTATAAGAAACAATAAAAGGGTACATTTAAGTACTTTTTCATTCTTCAAAAGGTATTGTTTGAATTTTCTATAATATTAAAGCTAGAAACAACTGATATATATTGATTTTTATACCCACTATCAAAAAACATGGGGTGTATATTGATTTAGTCATTCAGTTTGTAACACTTCGAAATATTATTCATAGACCCACAAAAGTATATATATTATGGGTCCTTATTAAATTCTAAGACGATCTAGCCATGTCCGTCCATCCGTCTGTCTGTCTGTCCATCTGTCTGTTGAAAGCACGATAGAGTCCGAACGGAATGAACCAAAAATATTCTATATAGGTAAGGTTTGTTTGGTATTGAAAATGGGCAATATCGGTCCACTTTTTCGGATATCTCCCATACAAGAGGAACCCCGAAAAACAGCTATAATGGGCATATCTGTTTTAAAGGTACGATTATTGAATTGAAATTCGACATAAATAAGTTCCATATAAGCCAAATTATCCCTATCAAATTTTATGAGGATCGGTCCATAATTAACCCTACCCCCATGTAAAGCCCCCTTCAGTTTATTACAAGCAAAAACCTTTCTACCAAATAATATAAGGCCTCCTTCAAGAAATTACTATTACACTCATGACTTAATTAAAAATACAAGTAGAGCGATGAAAGTCGGAACAAATGAGTATATAGAAACCGATACCTTACTATCAAATTTTATGGCAATCGACCCATAATTGACCATACTGCCCAAATATGTCCACGGTTTAAAAATTTTATAAAAATATTTTATTTTTAAAAGTTTTCAAAAGAGCTCGGTCCATAATTGTCATAGGTTATATTCCAAATATCACCCTGGTATTTATAGGAGATCATTCTTTTTATGTCATATTCGGCACAGCCGAATATAACACTCGTACCTGTTTTTTATAATATTGAACATGGAATCTACAGAATTGTTAATAAATTATTCGGTATTTGATTTAACTAATTTTTTAACAAATCGTTAAAGTACCTACATAACTCCCTATTTGTAAGCGAGAGTGGTAAGTACTTACCTCCAATGTCATCACCGTGTTTAATTATGACTTAAAGTGATACATTTTAGCATTTTAACCTCCTTACTTTTCAATTTAAGTTTTTGTTGGAATACAATATTTCGTTTCATAATTATAAAAAAGATTACAACTAAATCGTTGTGGTAGCTTAAAGACTTAAATAAGAGTTTTCAAAGGAAATATGTCAAAAGAAATTAATTTCAATTTATAATCATAAACAAAAATTAATCAAAAATGGCTTCATTTACACAAAATCCCTTTTTCAAACGCCCCACCATGTAAATTTATTTAAAATCAATTTCACTCAATCTGTGGAAAAAAAGTTGTTTCATAAGTAAATTATTTTGTCGCAAAAAATGTCACAGCCATATGTTTTAAAGGATTCCATGCTGATTTTTTGTTTATTTATACATTTTCCTATTTATTTATTTTTTTGTATTTTATTCCAAAGGATAACAGTTGTTATGTCACTCAGTCATTTGAAGCATGTTTCTGTTTGGTTGACAATACAATTCATTTAATATTCTAATATAATTTTTTTTATTTAAATAAGATCCTTAAATAAATAACTGAATGGTATTGTTGTATTGTTTAGTATATAAATATTTGTATATTCACACATAACATAACAAGCCACAAAACATTTGTAAAAGACCGCAAAACAATTTATCATAATTTATTGGAAAATGTATAAAAAATGTATAATTTAAATATTTACAAAGCAAATGGAAACCCGCAGCTAATGTTTAAATAAGATTTCTCTATACATTTTTATATAATACCACATAATTTGATTAAATTATATTTTTTTATTTTTCAATTTTTTTTTTTATTCTGCCTACCTCCTGCTGTTTGCCATACAACAACATTAACCACATCTAAAACGACAATCTCAACACAGTCAATGAAGATATGAATAACAAGGCTTCAACTTGTGGCAAACTTCTTATATGCCTCTCAGTGGTCCTGGTCATTTTGACGTTACCCTTCAGTTTGTTTGTTTGCTTTAAGGTAAATGAAAGTGGATTTTTTAAAAACGTTTTTTTTTCATTTAATTTTCTCGCTATTTATCTGTAAGTATTTGTATTTAAGTATAAAATTAATTATACCTCGTGGCTGCTTTGGCCTTTTGTAATGGAATAACATTTTCTTTGCTATTGTCTCAGTTGGCTCTTTTCCATTTTATAGGTGGTCCAGGAATATGAACGAGCAGTTATCTTTCGTTTGGGTCGTTTAATGCAGGGTGGTGCCAAAGGACCAGGTATTTTAAAAGCTTATAATCAAATTTTGATTTCTGTTATTAAAAATTAATGAGAGTCTGTCTGTGTAGGGGTCTATTTTGTTTTGTCATTTGTGTAAGAGCTTTAGAGGGATTTACAATGATTTAGTAATTTATATTTATGTCTTGTTTAAATTTTAGGTATATTCTTCATACTGCCTTGTATAGATTCTTATGCCAGAGTGGATTTACGTACCAGAACTTATGATGTACCACCACAAGAGGTAAGTAATGTACTGACGTTATTTGTAATTAGAGTCAAAATAGCTTTACGGCATAACTGAGATTCTTAAATATTTTAATTACAAATATTAATTTATTTTATAATTTTTATAAAAAAGACAACTTTCTTGAATAACGTGGTTTAAGTTGTAAGTATATGAAGACTTTTATGGAACTGAACTAGGAACGAACTAAACTGGAACTAGAACTGAACTAGAACTGAACTAGAAGCGTGAACTAGAACTGAACTAGAACTGAACTAAGAACGGAACTAGAACTGAACTAAGAACTGAACTAGAACTGAAAACTAGAACTGAACTAGAACTGAAACTAGAACGGAACTAGAACTGAACTAGAACTGAAACTAGAACTGGACTGTAGAACTGAACTAGAAACTGAACTAGAACTGAACCTAGAACTGAACTAGAACTGAACGATAACCTGAACTAAGAACTGAAACTAGAACTGAAATAGAAAACTAGAGAATAGAACTGAACTAAGAACTGAACTATAACTGAACTAGAACCTGAACCGAGAACTTGAACTAGAACTGAACTAGAACTGAACTATAAAACTGAACTAGAAACTGAAACTAGAAACTGAACTATGAAACATGAACTAGAACTGAACTAGAACTGAACTATAACTGAACTAGAAACTGAACTATGAACCTGAACTAGAACTGAACTTAGAACTGAACTAGAACTGAACTAGAACTGAACTAGAACTGAACTAGAACTGAACTAGAACTGGAACTAGAACTGAACTAGAACGAACAGAACTGAACTAGAACTGAACTAGAACTGAACTAGAACTGAACTAAACTGAACTAAACTGAACTAGAACTGAACTAGAACTGAACTAGAACTGAACTAGAACTGAACTAGAACTGAACTAGAACTGAACTAGAACTGAACTTGAACTGAACTAGAACTGAACTAGAACTGAACTGAACTAGAACTGAACTAGAACTGAACTAGAACTGAACTAGAACTGAACTAGAACTGAACTAGAACTGAACTAGAACTGAACTAGAACTGAACTGAATGAACTAGAACTGAACTAGAACTGAACTAGAACTGAACTAGAACTGAACTAGAACTGAACTAGAACTGAACTAGAACTGAACTAGAACTGAACTAGAACTGAACTAGAACTGAACTAGAACTGAACTAGAACTGAACTAGAACTGAACTAGAACTGAACTAGAACTGAACTAGAACTGAACTAGAACTGAACTAGAACTGAACTAGAACTGAACTAGAACTGAACTAGAACTGAACTAGAACTGAACTAGAACTGAACTAGAACTGACTATAACTGAACTAGAACTGAACTAGAACTGAACTAGAAAAACTGACTAGAACTGACTAGAACTGAACTAGAACTGAACTAGAACTGAACTAGAACTGAACTATAGAACTGAACTAGAACTGAACTAGAACTGAACTAGAACTGAACTAGAACTGAACTAGAACTGAACTAGAACTGAACTAGAACTGACTAGAACTGAACTAGAACTGAACTAGAACTGAACTAGAACTGAAACTAGAACTGAAACTAGAACTGAACTAGACTGAACTAGAACTGAACTAGAACTGAACTAGAACTGAACTAGAACTGAACTAGAACTGAACTAGAACTGAACTAGAACTGAACTAGAACTGAACTAGAACTGAACTAGAACTGAAGCTAGAACTGAACTAGAACTGAACTAGAACTGAACTAGAACTGAACTAGAACTGAACTAGAACTGAACTAGAACTGAACTAGAACTGAACTAGAACTGAACTAGAACTGAACTAGAACTGAACTAGAACTGAACTAGAACTGAACTAGAAACTGACTAGAACTGAACTGAAGAACTGAACTAGAACTGAACTAGAACTGAACTAGAACTGAACTAGAACTGACTAAACGAACTGAACTAGAACTGAACTAGAACTGAACTAGAACTGAACTAGAACTGAACTAGAACTGAACTAGAACTGAACTAGAACTGAACTAGAACTGAACTAGAACTGAACTAGAACTGAACTAGAACTGAACTAGAACTGAACTAGAACTGAACTAGAACTGAACTAGAACTGAACTAGAACTGAACTAGAACTGAACTAGAACTGAACTAGAACTGAACTAGAACTGAACTAGAACTGAACTAGAACTGAACTAGAACTGAACTAGAACTGAACGAACTGAACTAGAACTTAACTAGAACTGAACTAGAACTGAACTAGAACTGAACTAGAACTGAACTAGAACTGAACTAGAACTGAACTAGAACTGAACTAGAACTGAACTAGAACTGAACTAGAACTGAACTAGAACTGAACTAGAACTGAACTAGAACTGAACTAGAACTGAACTAGAACTGAACTAGAACTGAACTAGAACTGAACTAGAACTGAACTAGAACTGAACTAGAACTGAACTAGAACTGAACTAGAACTGAACTAGAACTGAACTAGAACTGAACTAGAACTGAACTAGAACTGAACTAGAACTGAACTAGAACTGAACTAGAACTGAACTAGAACTGAACTAGAACTGAACTAGAACTGAACTAGAACTGAACTAGAACTGAACTAGAACTGAACTAGAACTGAACTAGAACTGAACTAGAACTGAACTAGAACTGAACTAGAACTGAACTAGAACTGAACTAGAACTGAACTAGAACTGAACTAGAACTGAACTTGAACTGAACTGAACTAGAACTGAACTAGAACTGAACTAGAACTGAACTAGAACTGAACTAGAACTGAACTAGAACTGAACTAGAACTGAACTAGAACTGAACTAAACTGAACTAGAACTGAACTAGAACTGAACTAGAACTGAACTAGAACTGAACTAGAACTGAACTAAACTGAACTAGAACTGAACTAGAACTGAACTAGAACTGAACTAGACTGAACTAGAACTGAACTAGAACTGAACTAGAACTGAACTAGAACTGAACTAGAACTGAACTAGAACTGAACTAGAACTGAACTAGAACTGAACTAGAACTGAACTAGAACTGAACTAGAACTGAACTAGAACTGAACTTGAACTGAACAAGAACTGAACTAGAACTAGAACTGAACTAGAACTGAACTAGAACTGAAATCTTGTTTATATTAGTTTTTTAACTTACATTCGGACTATTAAAAATATGTAGCAATTTTCTTCAATTATTCATGTGTATGTTACGTAAAAAGAAATCGTAGCATAACATGAGACTCAAATCAAATTAGTTTTTATTTCCAAAAATTTTGTCAATATTTACGAAAATGTTCTCTTTGCTAATGTTTAACCAAAATGTTTGGCCAAAGAGTCAGTATAGGAAAAATGCAAATAAAAAAATTAAATTAATTAACAGGCCGTTTTCAATTTCGTTTTGTTTGACTAATGCAATATTCAAGTGTATTTCCTAAAACTATCACTAACATGGTGTTTTCTTCAGTTAATGAAATTTGTGAAGAAAAGGCGCATGGAATAAAAAATAAATGAAAAAAAAAACTAACATTGTAAATGATTTGTTTTACTCCAAAAAATACACGTACTTGTGCGGTAGAACAAGGAAAAAAATTAAGAAAAATTGTTTTGTAAAAATTAAGCAAAACTGTCTATATCAGCAGTTTTTTCTTCGATGCATTTTCCATTGTTGACGATTATATTACGACAAAACGAAATAAACTAGAAAAAATGTACATTCATTCACTACAAGTTTTTAATATTTCTTAAATTTTCCTACTTTTTCTTGTTTTAGGTCTTAACAAAAGACAGCGTCACTGTGTCAGTGGATGCTGTTGTCTATTATCGAGTTTCGAATGCAACAGTCTCCATAGCAAATGTTGAAAATGCTCATCATTCTACACGTCTATTGGCACAAACAACTCTACGTAACACAATGGGCACACAGCATTTACACGAGATTCTAAGTGAACGTATGACAATTTCCGACACTATGCAGGTAACAACAAAAAAATACTACAACAGCTACGTCAACAATAATAATCTTTATGTTCCAAACGAAGGCAAACGGAAAAGTTCTTAGACATTAAATAGTTGTCTATCTAATGTTGTCTAATGTTCTATAAAAATAGAATTTATCATTTTATGGAAAAATTTTCTATAAAGAGAAAATGTATGGAATTTTTTTCTATAACGTGAAAACTTAAAAAAGAAAAACTTAAAATTTATTAAAAAACTTAAAATTTATTAGAAATTGCCTAAAGAAAATTTATTGAAAATTTACTATAAAAAGAAATTTGTGCAAAAACGAAATTTACCGGCAATTTCTATAAAAAGAAAAGAACTTTTCATACAGACTTCGTATGTTTAAATAAGTGTGAGTGCATGTACATATATACCTGTATATATTTATGTATGTTATTTAAGTGTGAATAACTATTTAAGTTCAGTCAGGTGAACAAAAGCATGAAATATATGCCAGCCAAGCTTATTTTTCTACAATGTTTACATTTGTATGCCAGTTTTAAATTTATATGAGTGTTGTGTGTATCTGTGTTGTTCACAACTCTCGGTATATACATAAGTTTATAAATATATGTCATGTGCTGCCGTTGTTGTTGGCGTCAGTGTATTTCATAAAGAAAAAAAGATAACAACACAGCAACAGCAGCAACATCACGCAAACAGGCAGCATCAACAAAAATGTTTTCTAAAAAATCATGTCATAAATATGACAATATTTTGTCATTTCTCACCTTCCTCATGCCAACAACTGGTGCTGCTGCTGTTTAAAAAGCCTTCTTTCGCTTGCATACACATACATTTATACATTTTATAAACACCTGCAACATTAGACACATACAAATATAAACATATAAAAGTTTGAATTATATTTTGAACAATACAATAGATGACACTTCTCCGTAAAATTTAAAACATTTTTCCTTTCATTATGATGAAATTGTGTATTTGTTTGTTGTATTTGTTCGTTCATTCATTTCATTTTTTTCGCATATGTATATTTGCAGGTACAATTGGATGAAGCTACTGATGCTTGGGGCATTAAAGTGGAACGTGTTGAAATGTAAGTTATATGGCAACAACAAAAAATATTAAAGAGAAAAAGAAAAAAATACAACATCAAGAATGTATAAATATTTTAGATAGTAACCTACATATGAAGATAAATAAACATTTTACCTGCAACATCTTTAAATGATGAAACAACAATTTTCGTTTGGTTTCACGTGTTTTGTGATTCAATGTGCCTGTGTTTTTGAAATTGTCAGCATTTTGGAATTATTAGGTTTAGATTTTTTTTGTAATAAAAAGTGTTAAGCTACCCCAACATTGGCAGAATAACTAGACTAACTACTACTAACTAACTAACTAACTAACTAACTAACTAACTAACTAACTAACTAACTAACTAACTAACTAACGAACTAACTAACTAACTAACTAACTAACTAACTAACTAACACTAACTAACTAACTAACTACTAACTAACTAACTAACTAACTAACTAACTAACTAACTAACTACTAACTAACTAAAACTACTAACTTAACTAACTAACTAACTAACTAACTAACTACTAACTAACTAACTAACTAACTAACTAACTAACTACTAACTAACTAACTAACTAACTAACTACTACTAACTACTAACTAACTAACTAACTAACTACTAACTAACTAACTAACTAACTAACTAACAAACAACTAAACTAACTAACTAACTAACTAACTAACTAACTAACTAACTAACTAACTAACTAACTAACTACTAACTAACTAACAACTAACTAACTAACTAACTAACTACTCTAACTAACTAACTAACTAACTAACTAACTACTAACTAACTAACTAACTAACTAACTAACTAACACTTAACTAACTAACTAACTAACTAACTAACTAACTAACTAACTACTAACTACTAACTACTAACTAACTACTAACTACTAACTAACTAACTAACTAACTACTAACTAACTAACTAACTAACTACTAACTAACTAACTAACTACTAACTAACTACTAACTAACTAACTAACTACTAACTAACTAACTAACTAACTAACTAACTAACTAACTACTAACTAACTAACTAACTAACTAACTAACTAACTAACTAACTAACTAACTAACTAACTAACTAACTAACTAACTAACTAACTACTACTACTAACTAACTAAACTAACTACTAACTACTAACTAACTAACTAACTAACTAACTAACTAACTAACTAACTAACTAACTAACTAACTAACTAACTAACTACTAACTAACTAACTAACTACTAACTAACTAACTAACTACTAACTAACTAACTAACTAACTAACTAACTAACTAACTACTAACTAACTAACTAACTAACTACTAACTAAACTAACTAACTAACTAACTAACTAACTAACTAACTAACTAACATACTAACTAACTAACTAACTAACTAACATACTAACTAACTAACTAACTAACTAACTAACTAACTAACTAACTAACTAACTAACTAACTACTAACTAACTAACTAACTACTAACTAACTAACTAACTAACTAACTAACTAACTAACTAACTAACTAACTAACTAACTAACTAACTAACTACTAACTAACTAACTAACAAACTAAGGACCTTTTTACTTAACGAATCCATAAGTAAATACTCTTCCAGTTATAAACACTACATCGTATAGGTAATTTTCGCCAATGGAAGTGCGAATGTATTTGCTATAAAGGGAAGGAGACTTGAGGAAGTTCACGTGGCGCAAAACCATGAAAGATTGAATCAGATAGAGCCTGTTCGAAAATTTATCATTAGATATGGTTACTTAAATCTAAAGTAAAACGTTGCAATACTTTCAGTGTCATAGCCAGGCTTTCTGCGAGATTAGATCCAAATACATTGGTGGTGATCTAATTCCATTTATCAGATCTCTCAAGAGCAATGATTGGAAATTTCCAAAAAATTGCTTCCATTAGTTGCTGATCATTGGACTACACATAATTCACTTTAGATATCGCTATATAAATGGTTCTCCAAAAGTTCCATGATCTGGTGTAATATACATATGTACATAATTTCAAACTAACTTAACTTTCTTTAAGGTACTTTAAAGGAGCGAGATTAACTTAACTTTCTTTAAGGTACTTTAAAGGAGCGAGATTAACTTAACTTTCTTTAAGGTACTTTAAAGGAGCGAGATTATTTTCTTTTATGGTGAAAGAAATTATCGAAACTTTAATTCATAAAATTTATCTATAATTTTCTCTTTGGATAATAAACTGATTTATAAATAAGATGTTTATACAATAACGTTTATTTTAAATATGTAAGGTTTATCGAAATAATTGTGAATTTTTTATGCCTTTGTTCAAGCGATGCTTGATGTTCCAGAGTTTTGCATTTTGGAATCCTTTGTTACCTTTGGCCAACCTTTTATTAACCCCAACAATGTGTGTACAAATATAAAACTTGTTTAATTTTAAGGATTACACATACTTAACCGACAATGTGGTTTATAAAGGACTTGCTTTAAATTTATATAAATAAACCTTTCACTTACATCCGTTTTAATAATTAATTATCATTTTGGGGAGATTACTTAATTTTTATATATACACGAATTTATATGAACTTAACATATATTATAATTGTATTAAGGAAACCAGTACAGTGGTGATTAAAACAGTTGTAAATTTTTTAACATAAAGAAGTTATCATGTGGGCTCTTGTTTATGTGGACCTTATGTGGAAAATACAGGATATTATTTTGAAGATACGTTGATTGGCTGTAAACCCTACGGTTGCATTGATCATGCAGAGAATGTATAAAATCTTTAACTGGTTTATTAACAGCCAAGTTCAAACCAAATTTCCATATCAGATTTCAGTGAGCAATTCAATATAAGGCTCAATGTGGAAATGTAATTCGATTTATCTGGTGTATCATTAATTTTTATAAAAAAATTAAAAAAATTTATTAAAAAATTTTGCCTCCTTCTTACCCTCCACTGTTCATACAAAAGGAAATGCAAACATTTTAATATACATACATATATAATTCATGTGACAACAGCGACAATAATGATGTTGTTGTTTGGCGAACCTTTTAAAGCTCAAGTAACCACTTAAGCCAATCTGTGCCAAGTGCGAAAAAATACAGAAAATATCACTCTCACTCCGTCTTTCAGTCGTCGACGAAAAGTAGGCCATTAAGTCGTTGTAACCATATTTGATTTTTTTTTTTTTCAAAATCACTGACAAATATTTCATTGTATGCGTGTGCGGGCAAGTGAATCTGATGCTGATGGTGTTGATGATGATGACGGCGATGTCGTTTCAAAATGTTTATATTATTTGATAAATTAAATACAACATGATTAAGTCATGTCAGAGGAGGTCATATAATATTGATTTTCTTGCTTTCTTCAACAGAAATAAAAAACGAGAAAGATAAACCTCTTAAGTTATAAGAAAGCAAATGTTATTAAATGGAAAATTTCAGGGTCTTGAAGTATCATTAATTAACATATAAAATTTAATGAAATCTTGTCATTTGCTTTCTTCTTATTTCATGTTGATGTCAACGTAAACAGCAAAGATGTACGTTTACCCGTCCAACTACAAAGAGCCATGGCTGCAGAGGCTGAGGCAGCTCGAGAAGCTCGTGCTAAGGTTATAGCTGCCGAGGGTGAACAGAAAGCTTCTCGAGCCTTAAGAGAAGCATCCGAAGTAATTGGTGATTCACCTGCCGCTTTGCAATTGCGTTATTTACAGGTAGGCTCTTTTCTCTCTTTTATCCTTCTATTTTTTTTTGAAATCACTAATTAATTTCTTTATATTTTCTTTAGACTCTTAGTGCTATTTCGGCCGAAAAGAATTCAACAATTGTTTTTCCCTTGCCCATTGACTTAATAACATATTTCTTAAAGTCAAACGATGCTGAAACAATACAAACAGCCGCCAACACCGCACAAGTTATAGCCAAAAGGGATCGCGACCGAGAGGAGGATGAAACAGCATTGGCAGCAGCTAAAGCAGCAGCGGCTGCTGCACCAGCCCCTAGCAATACTCTACCATCTGGCAATTCTATAAATATTGCCATGTAAATTCTACCATAAATTCTAAAATAAAAAACAACAACAGACATTGTAAACAACCAACAACAACAAAAAAAAAATACATCATATAAGCAACAGTGACAACAATACAAATACAGCAACCAACAACAATAAATACAAAAGAGATGATGGCATTTACTTATACAGAGGAATATAAATAAAAATGAAAAAACTTAAATATAACAAATTTAAAGACAAAAACAAGCGTATAAAGATAAAAATTCAAAGTCAAAAAATAAAACTAATAAAATATCTAGAGTACACAGTACATAAAGCAGCAACAAACATTAGCATTAAACAATAACAAAAGCAACAATAATAAGAGTAAAGAAAATAATAATGAAGAAATTTAATCAAATTGTATTGAATTCATAAAATATTTAAAGTTCATTAAATTATATGTATGTATGTATATGTTTGTAACACCAATGACTTATTAGACGGTTGAAGTTAAAGGATATTTTTGATATTTTAAGATCTTCGTAATTATATCTACTTCAGTTCTAGTTCGGTTCTAGTTCAGTTCTAGTTTAGTTCTAGTTCAGCTCTAGTTCAGTTCTAGTTCAGTTCAGTTCTAGTTCAGTTCTAGTTGAGTTCTAGTTCAGTTCTAGTTCAGTTCTAGTTCAGTTCTAGTTCAGTTCTAGTTCAGTTCTAGTTCAGTTCTAGTTCAGTTCTAGTTCAGTTCTAGTTCAGTTTAGTTCTAGTTCAGTTCTAGTTCAGTTCTAGTTCAGTTCTAGTTCAGTTCTAGTTCAGTTCTAGTTCAGTTCTAGTTCAGTTCTAGTTCAGTTCTAGTTCAGTTCTAGTTCAGTTCTAGTTCAGTTCTAGTTCAGTTCTAGTTCAGTTCTAGTTCAGTTCTAGTTCAGTTCTAGTTCAGTTCTAGTTCAGTTCTAGTTCAGTTCTAGTTCAGTTCTAGTTCAGTTCTAGTTCAGTTCTAGTTCAGTTCTAGTTCAGTTCTAGTTCAGTTCTAGTTCAGTCTAGTTCAGTTCTAGTTCAGTTCTAGTTCAGTTCTAGTTCAGTTCTAGTTCAGTTCTAGTTCAGTTCTAGTTCAGTTCTAGTTCAGTTTAGTTCAGTTCTAGTTCAGTTCTAGTTCAGTTCTAGTTCAGTTCTAGTTCAGTTCTAGTTCAGTTCTAGTTCAGTTCTAGTTCAGTTCTAGTTCAGTTCTAGTTCAGTTCTAGTTCAGTTCTAGTTCAGTTCTAGTTCAGTTCTAGTTCAGTTCTAGTTCAGTTCTAGTTCAGTTCTAGTTCAGTTCTAGTTCAGTTCTAGTTCAGTTCTAGTTCAGTTCTAGTTCAGTTCTAGTTCAGTTCTTCTAGTTCAGTTCTAGTTCAGTTCTAGTTCAGTTCTAGTTCAGTTCTAGTTCAGTTCTAGTTCAGTTCTAGTTCAGTTCTAGTTCAGTTCTAGTTCAGTTCTAGTTCAGTTCTAGTTCAGTTCTAGTTCAGTTCTAGTTCAGTTCTAGTTCAGTTCTAGTTCAGTTCTAGTTCAGTTCTAGTTCAGTTCTAGTTCAGTTCTAGTTCTAGTTCAGTTCTAGTTCAGTTCTAGTTCAGTTCTAGTTCAGTTCTAGTTCAGTTCTAGTTCAGTTCTAGTTCAGTTCTAGTTCAGTTCTAGTTCAGTTCTAGTTCAGTTCTAGTTCAGTTCTAGTTCAGTTCTAGTTCAGTTCTAGTTCAGTTCTAGTTCAGTTCTAGTTCAGTTCTAGTTCAGTTCTAGTTCAGTTCTAGTTCAGTTCTAGTTCAGTTCTAGTTCAGTTCTAGTTCAGTTCTAGTTCAGTTCTAGTTCAGTTCTAGTTCAGTTCTAGTTCAGTTCTAGTTCAGTTCTAGTTCAGTTCTAGTTCAGTTCTAGTTCAGTTCTAGTTCAGTTCTAGTTCAGTTCTAGTTCAGTTCTAGTTCAGTTCTAGTTCAGTTCTAGTTCAGTTCTAGTTCAGTTCTAGTTCAGTTCTAGTTCAGTTCTAGTTCAGTTCTAGTTCAGTTCTACTTCAGTTCTAGTTCAGTTCTAGTTCAGTTCTAGTTCAGTTCTAGTTCAGTTCTAGTTCAGTTCTAGTTCAGTTCTAGTTCAGTTCTAGTTCAGTTCTAGTTCAGTTCTAGTTCAGTTCTAGTTCAGTTCTAGTTCAGTTCTAGTTCAGTTCTAGTTCAGTTCTAGTTCAGTTCTAGTTCAGTTCTAGTTCAGTTCTAGTTCAGTTCTAGTTCAGTTCTAGTTCAGTTCTAGTTCAATTCTAGTTCAGTTCTAGTTCAGTTCTAGTTCAGTTCTAGTTCAGTTCTAGTTCAGTTCTAGTTCAGTTCTAGTTCAGTTCTAGTTCAGTTCTAGTTCAGTTCTAGTTCAGTTCTAGTTCAGTTCTAGTTCAGTTCTAGTTCAGTTCTAGTTCAGTTCTAGTTCAGTTCTAGTTCAGTTCTAGTTCAGTTCTAGTTCAGTTCTAGTTCAGTTCTAGTTCAGTCTAGTTCAGTTCTAGTTCAGTTCTAGTTCAGTTCTAGTCAGTCTAGTTCAAGTTCTTAGTTCAGTTTCTAGTTCAGTTCTAGTTCAGTTCTAGTTCAGTTCTAGTCAGTTCTTCTAGTTCAGTTCTAGTTCAGTTCTAGTTCAGTTCTAGTTCAGTTCCTAGTTCAGTTTCTAGTTCAGTTCTAGTTCAGTTCAGTAGTTCTAGTTAGTCTAGTTCAGTTCTAGTTCAGTTCTAGTTCAGTTCTAGTTCAGTTCTAGTTCAGTTCTAGTTCAGTTCTAGTTCAGTTCTAGTTCAGTTCTAGTTCAGTTCTAGTTCAGTTCTAGTTCATGTTCTTTCTTGTTCTATTCTAGTTTAGTTTATAGGTCAATTATGCAGTTTGTCCTTTTTTTTGCAGTTTTGTTTGTAGATAGGTTAATTCCTTTAAATTAGTTCTCTTCAAAATTTGAATAAAAATGTATACCCTGTGGTAGAATTAGTAATAAGATTATTGGTTTGATTATTTTTTTATAAAGTTAGACTTTCTTTAAGATTTAGTAACATTTATAATAATCAAAGTATGTCTTTAAATAGCCGCTCAACGAGTTATCGATGTAAACACATCTATAAAAACACATTATTATGTCTGTACGTATGTTTGTCAGTCAGTTAGTCGTCGGTCAGTCTGTATTAAATGTATGATTAAATTAAAATCAGTAAATAAGTACCACAAAAAGTAAATATTTATTATCTATGTACTATGTATTGTTTTTTAATATAATAATCAACCAGAACAATAAATTTTCCACATTAACATCAACATCATTATTAGACACAGCCTGAACTAAAAAAAACTTACATACTTAAACACATTATATTACACTTTTACAAATATATGTGAAAAGAAAACCTTATTGTGATTTAAAATCCTTAATTTTGTAGAATGAGAATGAAAATGAAAAAACAAAGGCTGCTTGCTGTCTTCTTTATAACATACAACAAACAAACTCTGTATCTTTAATAGAGATGACACTTTAATAAAGACATTGTGCATTTCGGTTATAGTTTTTGTTTTAGTATCATGAAATATTCAATTTAGTAAATATTTAATGTTGTGAAAACAGGCAGTCTTTTTTGATAAATTATTAAATTATTTATACATATATAGCGAATTCTTATCTTATCCAAAAGAGAATCTCTAAGATTGTTAAAAGTATTTTTAGGTTTTATTTCTAGTTGATATATTTTCTTATTGACAATGTCCAATACGTAACTTATTACTATTTCTTGAAAATGAGTGCCAAAATTATTATTACAAGTAAATTTTTTTATTATAAAACATATTTTATTTTTTGACATTAGAGTCACATTTCAGTTTTTAAAAAACAACTGATTTTTATACAGATTTTCTTGTTACTATGGAAAAAAAGTAAACAAATTTTTCGCGGTTCTCGTCGCATTTTTAACTATGAACCAATTATTCACAAGCCGCTCAGAATATGGACCATTGGGTTTTGCTACTCTTATACGATCTAACTAGTGCTCGTTTTTAGAGAGAATTGTTCATATGTGTCGTATGTGGAATATTTATTTACTTTAAATATAAATATTCCACATACGCCATGTTATAAAATCTTTAAAGTTATATTATTGAATTGTATGCTTATACTAAATGGCAAATAAGAAAGATTTCAAAATTTCATAATAAAATAATTTCGTTTAATTTAATTTTTATTTTAATTAAAAAAACCCAATATTTTCAAGATAATTAGACCCGTAAAATTCTCCTCAAATATATACTCTTTTCCTAAAAACTGGTTGAAAATCAAAAGAATTTACTTAAATACAACATAAAGAAAATAATTTTAAGGGAACAGTTTTAATTAGTAATTATGCCCCATTCATGCTCATACTTATATATAAAAAATACATAAAAAATTTTAAACAAATAATTAAAAAAAAGTAAAGCAAATAAAAAAAACAAATGTTATTAATTAATGTTATTTTATATGGAAAAAATCAATCTTTTTGTTCAATAGTGTAAACTTAAAAATTACCATGCATCATTACAAAAAAAAATCTCTTTTTTATATTAAACGTTTATTTTCATTGTTACACGATTATATTGTTTACGAGTCAAATGCCAAAATACATAAAATAATTACATAATTAATTAAAGAATAATTTAAAATGAAAAAATTATAATAATAAATAGAAATAATATTGTGTAAATACGTACAAGTATATAAAATCATATGGAATTTTTTCTCTTGTAGATTTCAGATTTAACTTCGTAATCAAACTAAGATATAATAAAAAGTTTTATGTATCTTTTCAAATTAAATAAACAAGTTCATTCTTAATAATAATTATAGTTTGCAATTTATTTTTTGATAAAATAAAGGTAAGTTTTGTAGTATATTGTTATAAATAAACAAGAAATGTACATGTACTAGAACCGAACTAGAACTGAACTAGAACTGAACTAGAACTGAACTAGAACTGAACTAGAACTGAACTAGAACTGAACTAGAACTGAACTAGAACTGAACTAGAACTGAACTAGAACTGAACTAGAACTGAACTAGAACTGAACTAGAACTGAACTAGAACTGAACTAGAACTGAACTAGAACTGAACTAGAACTGAACTAGAACTGAACTAGAACTGAACTAGAACTGAACTAGAACTGAACTAGAACTGAACTAGAACTGAACTAGAACTGAACTAGAACTGAACTAGAACTGAACTAGAACTGAACTAGAACTGAACTAGAACTGAACTAGAACTGAACTAGAACTGAACTAGAACTGAACTAGAACTGAACTAGAACTGAACTAGAACTGAACTAGAACTGAACTAGAACTGAACTAGAACTGAACTAGAACTGAACTACTAGAACTGAACTAGAACTGAACTAGAACTGAACTAGAACTGAACTAGAACTGAACTAGAACTGAACTAGAACTGAACTAGAACTGAACTAGAACTGAACTAGAACTGAACTAGAACTGAACTAGAACTGAACTAGAACTAAACTAGAACTGAACTAGAATTGAACTAGAACTGAACTAAAATGCTCCAATCTATAAAGTAGTGACAATCTGTGATCACTTATATTTCCTATCAAAAATCGATTTTTATATGTAAAATCTAAGATCGGCTGTAGTTTC